GGAAGGAAGGAAGGAAGGAAGGAAGGAAGGAAGGAAGGAAGGAAGGAAGGAAGGAAGAAAGAAATGTACCATTTATAGAGTGATGTAAATATAAAAAGAAAGTGACCCCAACTCCTGTCCTATTGCCCCTGTCTGGGCTCTGTCCTGTCCAGGTATTTTCCTCTGATGACCAATTTCTATAACCTATTTAATGTATTTGCTTTAAGTACAGAGTCTAGAATTTATTGTATAGCTATGTTTGCAAACACTGTAAGAGCTATACTTTCATTTTTCTCTCAAACTGGAATATTTTCTTTATAAGCTAGCACTTCTGTGAAGGATAAGAAATTTTGTCTTGCTTTTTCCCCCCTCCTGGATAATTTTTTTAAGCAAGATTTTTTTGACCAGGGCAAAAACACACTTAGGACAGTGAAACAAGGAAAGGTGTTAAAGAAGCAACAGGAGAGCCTAGGCTGGGCTGCTTTGGCTTACTGGGAAATCAGAGAAAAGGGGGCCTTGGAGACCATTTCAGGGGGTTAGCCTAGGACCAGCGTGCCTGTGGGGGAAGGAGAGGAGGAAGGGAATGGCGTGGGCCATGGAGGTGCTCCCTGGAGGAAGAGTTCCTCCTCCTGTATAATCTTTGAAATTCTCACTGAGATTCTACTGTAGAGCTGGTAGGCTCTGTCCTTTGGAAGTGGACTACTCTGTGGTGTGCTGCAGCTGGTTCATACCACCTCTGGGGAGTCAATTGCTAAATTTTCAGAGAATTTTCAAGCCAATTGTTAAATTATTGGCCATTTCAAATGACCTATGTTGGGAGTATTTACACCGTGGAAATTGACACACTCTAAGACAGGTTTATATTTATTCTTCCAGAAAGCCAGCTGTTAGACATGTCCCAGCACATGCCCGGAACTACTACTTCTAATTCCAAATTCCAAAAATCCTTTCCTTTGTCCCACCTAAGCAGTCGTACCAATCCTTGGGGAGCAATTTCAGCACCTGAATGTGTGGATTCCCCACTCTCCATCTTCTGGTTCACCCAGAAAGATTAAAAGAGAACATTACATTCCAACAGGTGAAGAAGTTATTAAATTCTTGTGTATGCTATTGATTATATGTTTATATGGCTGTACTTTCTTCCCAAGAAAACAAACATGGGGGTGGAAAGGATGCCTACATCAGAAAAGAAAACATTTCCAAAGCTGCTCTGAGCTTCCTGCGCAGGACCTTCACCTATATGTTTGTCCTGTAGAAGGCAGCAGATCCCTAATTCTGAGACAAGGCAAGAAGTGGTTTATGCTCTGCTGGCTCCTCACTCTGCCCTGATCCAGGACTGAGGCAAAACGCTCTCCACTGTACTGCAAGTGTCATAAAGAAAGAGGACTGACTTTCCTAGAATCACATACAAGTCGAACCCGACCAACTATCAAACCCAGAAACAATCATTTAAGAGAACAGATGGGCCATGTTTCTCCTCTTAGCCAACTGCTGAAGGCTCACCAGTGCTACTACACCTGCATTCCCTGGATAGCCACCCAATGACTGGCAGAAGACATAGTCTGCAAATAACAACAATAATGACAACAAAATATGACACAAAACCAAACAAGAACCTCAAAATTATTCTTCCTTTCAGTGGAGGGGAGGGGTGCAAGATGGACTACAGAGCATTCTCATGTTAGCAGAGGGTCCTTGTTGCAGTAGAGAGCTCAGGCTTTAGAGTCAGAGAACTGGATTTGAGCCAGGTTCCAGAACTCCAGGGCTGTGTGGTCTTCAGTAAGTATATTCATTTCTGCAAGCCTCCATTTCACTCTTCTGAAACTGGGCAGTAATTCCCAGGTAGAAGGGTAGTTGAGAGAATCATTGATCGTGCAACAGGTGCTCAAGTCTTTACCTTCCCAGGGACACCAGCGGACAGTCTCTGAGCACAGACACGACTGTCAAAGCCCAGGGGACTAAATTCATACCAATGAATGGAAGTTACTAAACCCTTCCTCAAGTTTGTGACATGGAGACTGTGATCCTGAACTTGCTGGCCCTCATATTGGCCATGGATTGGCTGGCAGGAACCTTGGTTGTGCTTTGGCAGTCTGTTCTCATCTCCTCTATATTATAAGGATACTAATCCTGTCAAACCAGGACTCCACTCTTACGGCCTCCTTTAATTTTAATTACTTCCTTCATGCAAATACAGCCATATTGGAAGTTAGGACATTAACATAAATTGAGGGTGGGGGATATGATTCAGTCCATAGCACGGCCTCTTCCACAGCTGGCTTCTAGGAAATTCAACAGCATTCTACCTCCTGCCCCACTTGGGCTGCATCCAAGTACATTGGCAGGAACCCAGTGGTACTCCCAGGGAGTTCAGCTACTTCCTGGGTAGTTTCTGACAAGTTTCATTGGCACCTCATGGGCAAGTTCTTGTTTGTTAGCTCTGGCTTCTGACACCCTGTAATCTCTATTTGCCTTCTGATGGGCTACAGACTTTACAATAAGATCTATATCTCAGTTTAGTGGAACACCTTTCTCAAATTTATTCCTACTTGTATTCCTTGTTCCTTAGTAGTTAATACTATTACCAATTAATGGTCCTGTATCAAAATTTATCTTCACTACCAATTCCACAATTTGAACTAGTTAATATGCAGAAGCTGTGAGGAAATATTCACACATGAGAGGGCACTACATCTGCATTTAGGCTCAAAATAGTGCAAATAAAAATTGTGGAGGAAAACTGCTTTGAGGTATTTCTTAGATGGGCTGGACACGAATTGGTTAATGGATTTGCAGGTGCTGCTGAGAAATGAACAGAATGTCAAGGTGGCAGTTGCTGGAGCAAGATCCCATGGCCCAGTCCTCCCATGGCTGTGTCCCCTTCCCTCAGACAGAGACCACTGAAGGATAAAAGTCAGGGGACTAAGACCAGACCCTGCGGGGGCGGGGGGGAGTGACAGACACAATTGACAGGGAGTAAGGAGGAGCAACAGTGTAACCAACAAACCTAGAGAGGAGCAGATCTGACTCGGGAAAGGGTGTCTAGCAGGCTGTTGCCCTGTGTGACTCTGAGATTGTCCTCTACACCTAAACACACAGGCACAGGGTCCGCTTTTAGGTAGGTACCCATCCATCACCCCTTGACACCAAATAAGTAGCCCTAATACCAAAAAATAACACAAAGTTTTCAACATTCAAACTCTTGAGCATTTATTACACATCCATTATGTGCTCTTTCTCAGGGGATATGGAACTCAATGACTCGGTGTCCTTGATCTCATGGGGGTCACAGCCAGTCTGCTGAGAGCAGAGTGAAGCAGCTCAGTACTTGCTGGGCAGGCCAGCAGGTCTATAGCGATTGGGGTCGTTGCCACTCCGTCCCCATCTGTTGGCCTCCTGGTCAGCCATCGAGTCCTCCAAGCCATGGCCACTGTCTCCATACTTAAAAAGGTCAGTGAATCTCTGAGCACCCTCTCTGGCATCGCTGGAATGAGGGGAGCAGGTTGGAGGTGAATCAGGGGCTAATAAGAAACAGCCCCACCCTCCCAACTCTCCCATTTCCAAGGCATTAATGGCTCTGAAAGGAGACTGGAAAGAGGCTAAACACTGAGCCCACCTGGGCACAGCCCACTCAGCCCTGGGTGACCCCCTGCCACTGGGAGAACAGCACCCAGAGGGGAGGGTGAGAATCAACCCTTGACGCTCAGGTTCTCTTTCTGGGGACAGGCCATCAAGCCATTCTCTGGCTCTGTTGGCAGCCCAGGCCCTGTGCTGGGCAGGGATGGAGAAGGCACACGGGAAGGACATGAGGAGCCACAGCCTACAGGGTCCTTCTCTAGGGCCCACATCCTCCCGGTCCCCAGGCAGCCAAGCTCTGCTGGACCAGCCTGCATCCCCAGGAGCCTGTTACCTGATCACTTCAGCAGCCCAGACGCCCCCAGGTCCCCTTTGTGCAGCATCATAGTTGCCCCGGGCATGGAAGTATTTGTCTGAGTTTTTGTAGTTGGCTTCTCTCATGTCAGAGTAGGCTCTCCACATGTCTCTGGCCCCTGGGAAGGAAAGGACATGGCACAGAGATGTCAGGTGAAATATCAGAGAACTGTGACACCCCTTAGGGAAGATTCAAGGAAGGAAAATCTACCACTGCCTTAGTGTCAGCCTGTGGTCACAGCCCCCTGGAAACCACAGGTTGAGAAGAACATTCCCCAGGCCCACTTGTCTTCTCTAGGTGACTCTAATGAGAGTCATTCAGGTGGGGACATGGCTGTGTTGTGCCTGGTGGTCTAATGGCTGACATGCTATCTGTGGGCTCCAGCTCACTTAGGCCCCTAGGACATAAGTTTAAAGGAGACAGGGAGGTGCCTTACAGAACAGGATTTCAACTTCAGCACTACTGAAATTTGGTGCCAGAGAATTCCTTGTCCTGGGCCTTCGGAGGACTGTAGGATGTTCACAGCATCCCTGCATCTCTGCCCGCTAGGTGCGGCAGCATATCCCCCGTGAGACAGCCAACATTGGTTCACACCTCGCCACGCCCCGGGCCACCAGATTGCTCAGGATCAAGAACCTCTGGTGTGGAGCGAAGCTACGTATGATAGTGTTCAGCTTACTTGGTGGGTGAGGTGGACACATGGAAAGCAGATTCAGAGTCGGGCACAGACGTACAGCGCTTCTGCCTGCCGCCGAAGAAATGCAGGCTTGCAGACGGAATGCACGTGACTGTGACCTGAGTCCCTCTGAGTGGCAGGGGCATGAGTGGCATCCTGGAAACTTGCTAAGCAGGCTGGACTGAGGCTGTGGGCAAGCAAGCCCTGGAGCAGCGGGCCTGTTTCTCAGCCTGGCTGCACTCTCTCATCGCCTGGGGAGACTGTGAAAGTCGCATGCCACGTCTCAGGCCAATCACCCCAGACTCTCTAGGGGTGGGTCTCAAGCTTCAGCAGTTCTTAGTGCTCTCCATGCTTCTGAATGTAGCTGAGGCTGATAACCACCGAGCTGCAGGAAGCGGTACTCAGACACATCTGCTTGGCAAGAGCTGTGGGCTCACGCACAGCCGGGTTCAAACTCTGCTCTGCCACCTGCTGATTTGCACGTAGTCCCTGGTCAACGGACTCAGCTGCTCTAGTCTTCAAGGTTGGGCAAGAAGCCTGCCTACCAAGTTACTCTCCACGTGGAGTGGGTGACCAGCTGTCCCACCTTGACCAGAACTGTCCCCGTTTGCCTAGAACTGTCCCAGTTAGCACTGGAAGTGTCATGGAAACTCCTCAGACCTGGGCAGACCAGGAGAGTTGGTTGCCCTAAATTGCATGGAAGTGGTGAGCTCCTAGAGGAGGCTCGATGGATGCGACTAGTTCCCGTTTGGTCAGTGCAAAGGCTGGCAAAGGGTAGCAAACAGACTAAAGCAGGGACAGTGTCTCTGACTACAGGAAGCCCCAGCTAGAGCTAAGCTGCAGGTCTCTCAACTGTCCAATTAGGGTTGGAAGGGAGGGAGGAAGCGAGCGAGAGGGAGGGAGAGAGGTGGAGAAGCAGAGATGGAGAGCTTTAATCACACTTTGGGCAGTTGGTCTGAGGGAAGTTTTATACCATTTCAAGACTTACTCTGTCTTCTAGTCAAACTTACCTTCCAGCTGGGAACTGACTATTCTTTCTCTGGTAACTGATTGAAATAAGTCCTGTGGTTTTCCATCTGTTTGATGAAAAGCTCCCCAAACACCTGGCACATTCTACCACATGGGGCAACCCAACTTAGGACAGTAGCCCCAACCCCGAAGGATGCTCAGGGTGAATCCTAGTGGCCATGGGTGCCAACCCCCCTCCAGCAACTTTACCGTCATAAGCCTGGCGCATGAACGAAAGCCAGTCCTGGCTGCTGACTCCCAGGACCAAGGAGCAGAACACGAGGCCTGTGACAAGCTTCATGGTGCTGAAATGAAAGGGGAGGGTCAGGGAGACACGGGCAAGGCTGGCACACCTCCTTTTGGGGTTCATATGTCTCAGAGACAGCCTGGCTGTGCATTTCCTTTTGTTCTCATGAGATGCTGCTGTCCATCTAGGAAGCACTGTAGTAGGACTTCACTCAGAGCCAAGGCCCTCATTTCTGAACACATCACCCCTGAACCCAAGACTGTCTAGGAGGTCACCAAGGTGGCATTATGCAGGAAGAGGGCAGTTAGGACCAAACCGACCCTCCTGAGCAGCCTGTAATTAATCAAAAAGCACTTACCCTGTGCTACTCCGCCAGCACAGACCTCACACAGCACAGATACAAATAGAATAATTATTTTAAAATGAATGTACAGTCTTGCTGGAAAGAGAAAAGAGAGTAAGTTTTTTAGAGCAATCACTCCCTGGAGTGGTCTCTCGCCTGGTTTCCAGTGGAGGAGAGCTGCTGGTCCCTGCCTGCTGGGGACAGCTGGCTGCTAATTATTTATACTGAGCGCTCCCTGTTGGGGTCATTGGGAGGGAAGAAAAGTCAGACTTGGCACCTGGGGAAATTCCCTGCCAGTCATTTCTCCGAAAAGGTACAAAGGAACACTTTACTGGATGGCAATGGTTGTCTTCATGCACAGGTCATTTCCCTGTTGTGCAACCTGAGGAACATGGTAGACCTGCTCTGCCCAGGCAGCCATGGGTCAGGGGGACGGTTGAAGGAGCTGAACAAGGCCACCTGGATTGTGGAGAGGAAGGGTGTGGGCTCTAGGAGGGGGCACCCCGGCTGCTGGAAGGTGTGCAGTTAGAGGACATCTCCTCCAGCATCCTGGTTACTTTCTCAGGATGGTCCTTGCTGAGCCTGATGGCATATGTGTCAGAAATGAAATCCCTTTGAGTTCATGTCTAAAGCCCTTGAGCTTCTTAACTGACAGGCTAGCCCACCAAATCTCATGGGTGCCCTGAAAGGCTGCTTCCACCACTCTGTGTGCATATGTTAAGCTCCTAGGTCCAAGGCACAGAAAGGCCTGCTCAGCTGGCTCAGCCACCGAGGAAGGGTATTATCTAATCCCGCTCCTTTATTTTATTACTAGAACTCTACATGGTGACAGATGGTTACTAGACTTACTGTGGTGATCGCATTAAAAGGTATACAAATGTCAAGTCACTGTGCTGTACACCTGACACTAATATGATATTTTATACCAACTCTAATTAATAAATTTTTAATTAAAATATAAAAATAATCTGGCTTCTTATTTGGTGGCAATCAAGTGGACGGGACTCTGCTTCCCTTCACCCAATCCTGGAAACACCTCATAATGGGAATGGAAATGTTTAGGTGCCAGGAACTGTCAGGGCCCAGGGTAGGCTGCTCCAAAATATCCCACAATGGTGTATTGATTCTTTTGAATTAAAGTTACTTGACAAGCAGCCAGTGCAAGAAGAGCAAGTCAACCCTGCCTTGTCTCACTGAATGCAGGAAATAAATTGCCCCTGTGCAAGGTGCCAACCCCACTCCGGGGAGCTGAGAGAGACACCCTTATCGCCGGGGTTAAGGAGAGCCTGGATATACAAACCTTGTTACTTCTTTACTAAATCACTACCCAAGCTCAACCTTTGCTTAGATTCCTCACTAATTAAGACCAACACCTAAACTTCTTTGTCCCATCAGATCTTCACACATTTATTGTTTCTTTGCCCAAAAAGTATTAAAAGCTGGCTGGTTCGATCATTTGTCTGAACATCATTTATGATCTCCCATGTTCACACATTAAATTGGGTTTTCTCCTATTCATCTGGTCTTATGCCAATTTTATTATTAGTTCAGCCATAAGAACTCAAGAGGGGTTGGAAGGGAATTTCCCCCTCCCTAATACAAAAGGACAGAGGAAGGTAACATCTGTTATGGGAAAATGGCAGCCCGACTGGGGAAGTGCCAGGCTCCCAGTCAGGGGACTAGCGGGGCAGAGCTCTTAGTCTCCTGTATTTTCCTGGGGGCAGGGGCCTGCGGTGTCACTGTCCATCTTTCTTGTCACTGTGAGTTGAATATATCAGCAGTGTCAGCCCTGTGAGATGAGGCCTATACACATACTGTACATGAATAGAGCCTCCAACTCTTGGGAGAAAATATACCTTGTACCTCATCCTAACTGAAAACCTTCCAGAAAGAGAATTCTCAACACTATAGTGTAAAAGGTAATATACCTTTTAATTGGCTTTGTTCTAAGTTGTCTGAAGACAGATTGAAGAGAAAGGCTTATCTTCCTGAAACCAAATGAAGTTTATTCTTATTTCTTCCCTTTGCTGGATTTTTGGACTAGCCAGCAAGTATACTCTTTTTGACTCTCAACTCCCTTCCTGTTTAATCAACTATTACCATATTATTTGCCATCACTTAAGATACGGAGTCTCACACTCTCAAGCTCTTGGTTTGAAGAAATCTAGCATACGGGAGAAGACAGAACTGCCAGGCTTTTCTTTTGTCATTACAAAGATTTCTCATATGTACTTACGCCCTTTGAGAACGGGAGATGTCAAGTACACCCATTGTAACATTAGTACCAGGGCAACAAATGGTCAGTTAAGAGAACCAAGCTGACTTCTTTTTTAAGATTAAAAGTACAGAAAATGCAAACAATTTCTGAAGTCCATTTGTCCTACAAGACTACTTTTTTTAAAAAACTAACTCTTCCAAAACACAGTTTTAATTTAAATTAATTAAAATTAACAACAGAAACCATGCTTATCACACTATCTGGTATATAACAGGCACTCGTTCATCACTGTATTCATTTCTATAGGTACTTGCTGAGCTATTTGCACATTCCCACACTCTTCCATGCGTTGGAATGAGAGTCTCCAACCTCGTGATGTTTATGTTGTAGTGATCAATCAATGAGTATATAACACAAAAATAGTGACACCCCTCGTTATCTAAATGGAGTCCCCTCCTGACTGTGTTTTGAGGGAGTCAGGGGGGCAAATTTTCCATAATGAATTATTTTCACAAGTATTATTGGAACTACTCAAACACCTATTTAACAAGAAGATATCTAAGATATCTACACAATATAAAACAATTAAAATACCAATTACTTTATTATTTACCAATTAATGAGCCCACTAAGGGGTATTTTGTGTACAGTCCTCTATAATATTCTAGAAAGTTGGACACAAATTTTGTTTTCTTTCTGCACTGCAACAAATATATACCGTAAATTTTAAAAATTAAGAAAATTGTTAAAAATAGTGAATACAAATGATCTTTGCATGGTAAAATATATAGGAATTTTGGTGACAGAATTTTAAGTGAAAAAATGCACATCTAAGATTTGTGTAAGCCCAGATTCAAGGAGCTGGGTGACAGTTTTTCCTACTTGGCACTGGAAACTGTATACAGCTGGTAGAGAACACTGATCTGAAGCTGTAGGTGAGGCAGTTATTGAAACACTCGCATGTGAAATGGATATCTGTTTGTGTTGCCTTTACTTTCTATCACCCAAGCCCTGATAATATGAGACTGTGTTTTAGTTAACTTTTTGAATGGATATTAATGTTTATGTTTTGATCACTCCTTAGTGACAGGTGTCACTGTTGTCAGCATGATCTAAACCTAAGGATGGCCTTAGGTTGTGATATGCACAGGTCACCCCTAGTAACAGGAGAAGACAGCGGAGTACCTGGGAATAAATGCAGGTAAGTCAGTGGATTTGCTGTTGGGAGCCTGTGGAAGTGCATTTCTAACTGCTTCTATTTTTCTGTGAAATAAGAAGCAAAGTCCTCAACCGAGAGGAGGAAAGAGGAGAAAGAGGTGTTGGAAATGCTGGGAGAGAAGTGAAAAGTGGCCATCTAGGAGAACGGCCGAGAGCATGACCTTGGGAAGCGTAGTAGGATTGCAAGGCAGCGCCAGGCTAATGCTCACGAATTTAAAGTGAGACTAATCACTGTGGTTGTGTATTTTTCTCTGACCACATTCAGCTGCCAAATAGACTTGAAGTAAGTAGGGAATTGGATATCACCGTTCAATAAATGCTTGTTGAATTATCGAATGAATGAATACACGCAAAGGTCAAAGGAGGATTAAAGATGGGGGGGTAGGGTACAGGGAGAAAGTTAATAGAGAGTGACAGCAGATAAAAGTAGGGCATAACATACACTCCAAGGCCCAAGGGCCCACAGGACCACTGGGGACAAGGTTGCCCAGAGAGCAGGAGGAGCAGGTCTTTCTCTAAAGGAAGGAAAGGAGAGAGAATGAAGATGTATTTTGAGATGGAATATAGAGAACTGGGAAACCAGGAACACCTGTCCTTCATCTATCAAGGGATGCATCACTCTCTACCTGTCTGCATTTTTTAGTTTGGCCCTGTGCGGTGTGCAAACCCAGGGGTAGGAGCCTTGTCTGGCTTATTGACAGTCCATCTGCACAGCACAGAGCACAGCACCCACCTATAACAGGTTTTTGTAATTTTTATTGATCGTATGAATCAATGACTGAATGAAGGAGAAGAAATAATCTGCATAGATTGAAAGAGGTAGTGTGAAGGTGGAGTTTGGAAGTTAAAAAAATAGAAAAGCTTTGAACCAATGATGTAATATTAGTGTAATATTAACCATTTAAAGATGAACAGATGAACATGGATATTGTTTATATGCACTAAAATCCCAGCTTACTTGGAATGGTTGAACTTATTGTCAAAAAATATATATCTAGAAAGCAAATCCTTACCCTCACTTCTACCACTTTCCTACTGTTACTATGCACCATCATCTGGAGTATTGTGATGAATCCCTACTGGCTTCCATGTGTCCACCTTTGCCCCCAATCAGTGTTTTCTCATAATATCAACCAGAATTTAAGACACAAGACAGATCCTGTCATTCTCTGCTCAAAACCCTCCCCATTGTGGAAGCCAAAGCCCCTACAGTGGCTTATAAGACTACCTTTTCTCACCGCTCATTGCCTACTTCTCTCCTCTCACTCCTTTTTCTCCAGACACACTGGTCTCCTCCCTGTTCTTCAAACCCCTAGACACATCTCACCCCAGGGGCTTGGATTAACTATTCTTTTCATCTGGAACATTTTTTCCCAGATATTTTGCATACCAGGGCTTTGAGGGAAGCAAGATGTTAAGATTTTAGAATGCTGTAAGGTTCGACAATATAATTAATATCACTAAGAGTGTTGGCAGTGAATATGTTAGAATGAGGTTTATAAATGAAGTATGGGAATTTTTCATGGAAGTGGGAGAGGAGTGGGGAGATGTGTCAACAAACATAGTAGAGAAATACTTTATCCCCAAACATTACTAATCTGATTGTCTGTGTCAGAAGCTTCTGGGGGGTGTTTTAAGAGTTCAGATTCCTGGGCCAGAATCTTGAAGGCTCTGATTAAGCAAATTTGGAGTGGACTTCGTTTTCATGTCTCTGCTTGAAAAATCTCCCTGTTTTGGAAATCACTTGTGCAGATGACACTGGTAAGACTGGAGAGAGGGTGGTAAAGAATTTGACAGGGACCTGGGAGAAGACACTCAAAGAGCATTGGCTGTAAAGAATGTGGAAATGGTAGTGGGGAACAAAGAAGATGTAGACCCTCCTTCCCATTCTATTATTCAGTAACAGCAGGAGGTGTGCTTCATGGGGGACGACAACAATAAGTGGAATCAACATGGGGAAAGGCAAGTTTCTGTTTTTATAACAGGGGAAGGAAATAAGCAAAGTTAAAGGATATTCACCACAGAGCCTTCCCACCCCCGGCTCTTTGGAAGGCAGTAGTGGAAGGGCGGGTGGAGTGTAGAGGGTGTTGAGACTGACCCAGAGAGAAATGCATTTACATTAAGTGAAAGCAAAACAGGATAGCAGGGTTAAAGAAACAGTGGTTAGCATACTGGTTAGTGACAGCAGGCTGAGATTATTTATTGCTTGGGGCTGAGTGTGGGATGCTGTATTGTGAAAGGCTGGTACTTATGAGCCAGTAGAACTACCTCCCCAAAGTCCAAATGGACTGACGGATGAACATTGGAGATGCCCTTCTGGTCTCCTCCCAAATGTTCTGAAGTTTACTGTTAACAGAAGTTCCAGAGAGAATGGAGGGACAAAGGAGGGTGGGGAAAGAGTGGTTAATGAGGGTAGATACAGTATACT